TACATACATACATACATACATACATACATACATACATACATACATACATACATACATACATACATACATACATACATACATACATACATACATACTCCCTCCCACTACTTCCCGTACTTCTCCACCATCTCCACCAAAGCCTCCTCAACCTCTCCCGGATGACTAAAACTCAAAAAGTGCTGCCCACCATCCACAACCTTCAACTTAGCCTCATAACTATTCCCAAACAATTTAATCTCCTCCTGCGCATTCCTAACACTATACACCGCATCCCTGGTCCCATGCAACCAAAAAACCGGACATCGCACATCCATTAATCGCGAATGTAATCCATCCCTCTCGGCGAGATTAATAGCCGCCATGCGGATTCTCTTCCTGCCTGCGTCGCCGCGATAGTTGGCTTTGAGAGCTTGAGTCCAGAAATCACGATCGGGGGCTGGACAGTCGGGGCCGAAACCGCTGGAGATGAGGAATTCGCAGTAGGTGTCTGTGGGTTCAAAATCCGGGGTTGGGGTGAGGGTTGTCCAGGCGGAGATGTTGGATGCTAGGAGTGCGGGGCCGTCCCAGCAGCCTAGGGAGATTGTGTGGGGGGTTTCGGCGTTCATGGAGGTTCCTAGGGGGAGGATTCCTGCTATCTGTTTTTTTTTACTGGCGTTAGAGTTGTTGTTGTGTGTGTGAGGAGAGAGGGAAACGTGCCTTTTCTGGAGCGAGTAATGCCATTCTCACGGTAATCCAGCCTCCTTGACTGGTTCCCAAGACGAAGATTTTGCCGGTGATTTTCAATGCATCGAGGACTTGGAGGTTCATGATTGCGGTGTCCCAGTATGTGAAATGCTCGGATTTACATCGCGTTTGGCCATGGCCGAGGAGTTCGATGGCGAGCAGGTTGTAGAGGTCCGTGAGCCTTTTGTTGGTAAATTGGGATTGGTAGAGGTAGGAGTCTGTAGTGAAACTGTTGACGAGGACTAGAGTTGGTTTGGAGGAGTCGTAGGAATTGGGCATTTGGTAGGCGGCTTCAATGCCGCCTAGATGTGGAACTTTGACGGTTTTGATGCTAGACATGATGTTTGATGTTGTGCTTTGAGGATGATGGTGATTGATATCTTTTTGAGAGGTATTAGTCGAACGAGGCTACCTCGGATAGGAGCAACGGAAGTCTTGTAGTGGTAGTATTATATGAGCGGGGTAACAGGATATAAGCTCATCTTGAAGACCTGTACACCGTTGATGACGTTGAGCTTCAGTGACAGTTCTTGCGCAAATGACATGCTCTTCGTGGGGTCTTGGAGAAGGTAGTCTCAACAAGACCAGACAAATTCCATTTCCTTCTCCCGCGTCTCCCAATGCTTGAGAGGTACGCTATCTTGGCCGATATGCGTGGCGGCTGTTGGGCGGAAGTACTACATACTCCTCATAACTGCCGCTGTCGCTGTCTCAGTAGCGTGGAACAAATAAGGGAGCTTCCACCCGCAAGACGCCAAGCAGTCCGTCGTCGGCAATAGGGAGTCCGTGAAAGACATGTCGCGGATAGAATATTTCCCCGCCAGTTCCAGAAGGCTTTGGCGGAAAAAGCTTGTGTTCAACCCGCCGATCTTGGCCCGCAGCGCGACACCAACCCTGCCGCGTGGAAATGCCACGCGTTGGGAGATGAGCAGATCTGATTCGTCTGTCGCCATCGAGTCATGTGTCGAGAAAACCGCCTCTTCCTGCAAGAGAAGGCGGTCCTTTTCATCCCACCTGTCACCCAGGCAGGCACCACTTCCCGCCGAATGTTCGCCGCTTCGGGCAAATGAATTGCGAGCCGCAGATGCGGCGATGCGATGAGATGCAGCTAACTTGTTCCAGTCTTCGCGATGGCTCACGGTGAGTGGAGCTTTCCTTTTTGATTCCTTCCATGATTTTTCTACTGCAGAAACTACCCACTCCATCGACACCGAATTCCCGGAAAGGAGTGAGGGGCGGATACATCGCATCTTTGTATGACCAACGTGCCTACCACAAGTTTGCCTGACGGCCGCGACTTCCCACGGTAAAGCTGTCGCGAACAGCTCCTCTTCCGCTGCCACGCACAGATCTCTTCCGCTGCCACGAATATCATCTCTTCCGCTACCACAAACATCACCCTTTCAGCCGCCATTGTTTCCAGTCATCTCTTCATCCGCTCGAGATATTCCTTCATCCGCTGAAACATCCACATCCTCCTCCACATCCTCCTTCACATCCCTCGACATCCCACTATGAAGTTCGGACACGAATACTCGACCGCGCTCGCCAACGAAGGCTTTCCGCCAGAATGGGTGGAAAAGGCGATTGAATACAAACATCTCAAGAAATGCATCAAAAAGATACACAACGAATTGGAGGATCTCGGACTGGACAAGCAGACCCTGACGGTTTTGGGAGATTTGATTGCACAGCCGCGGGAGGAGGATCAAGATGCAAAGGCTGGTAAGGATGAGTTCTATTGCGCTGTGAAACCGGTGTTGGATGCGATTCCGGAGGAGTTTACACCCCAGTTGAGGATTCTCGTCGATCGGAAGACGGGCACGCCATTGGACGCGAGGCTGGCACCGGAGACGAGAAAGTCGTTGAGGAAGTTGGCCAGGCATGAGATTGTCGTTGCGGGCAGGAAGGATCGTCTGGGAGGCGGGAACTTGGTTTATGCGACACATTCCGTAGCCCCGCCGGAGCACAAAGACGTGGAGGAGAATGAGGATTCGAGATGGGTGTCAGTACCACTCGCGTCTGCCACCGACTTCTTCCTACTCCTGGAGCCCAAACTGCAGGAATTGGAGAGGCTGCGAGATGCCGAAACGCATAACCTGGAAGAGGCTATTCTCGATCTGGGAGACGCCGTGGAGAATGTCATTCAACCTGTTCGAGATGGATACGAGACGCACCGACGAGTCAGCTACCGAGATCTCTACTTCTGGCGAGAGATGTTCCGTCTTTACCTGGAGAAACCGATCTTTTACAGCGACACGGAGAACAAGCGAGGTGCTGTCGCCTTTTCGGAAGCGAAACGCAATCTGGAAGAATACGATCAACAACTGCGAACCACAGGTCTTCTCGACAAGATGAGGACTCCACAAGCCAAACTTGCCTCCAAACAGTTCCTCGACTTGAATGTCAGGATTCTCAGCATCATGCATTTCCAAGAAATGAACGCTCGCGCCATGACCAAGATCCTCAAAAAGTTCAACAAGCGCACACACCTCCAAGGCCAACAATTTATCAAAAGTTTACGAGGCTCTCCCAACCTACTCACTCTGGCTGTTAGAAACAAACCTTCCGAAGCGGGGATCTTTGCCGACGCCATCGCCCGTGACTTGTACGCCGAAATTGGCAGTAAAGTTCTCGCCATCGTTCCGCAACTGGATGATTGGATCTGTCCAGTCTGTTATGGCATGGCCTGGCTTCCCGTGAAACTTGGATGTTGTCGCGCCGTCTTTTGCATAAGATGCATCATCCGTCTCCAGAATGACGGCGTGAAGAAATGTCCAATGTGCAATTCTGAAACTGTTGTCAACGCTGACGGACGTAACTTGGACTTGAAGACAGAGCAATTTTTGAAAAAGTTCTTTCCCATGGAAGTCAAAAAGAGACAAAAGGAGAATGAACGGGCGGCGCTTGAGAGAGAGTACGGGGAGGAGTTCACGAGGAAGGCGTGTGTTGTTATGTAGTGTGACTCGCAGGAAACGGGTTTTGGTTGTCACTCTTGGGGAGACGGTGGACTGCGAATACATTCATTGGCGTTGGAGAGAACGGAGGGGGTTTGCTTTTTGATACCCTTGATGGCGTGGAGCGGTTCTTTAACATTACTTCGTTTGATAGATGGAACAGACTCATTTCGAGCATCGCAGTACATTGAAAGAAGGATGGACCGCGGTTTCATCCCCATCTCCTTTGCATTCGCTGACAATTGGCAGCCATAAAGTGCATGTACTTTAGGTCTTTGCCGGCAAAGCAATTATTACGTCACGGATCGGCATTGCATCACTTCGCCTGTTTGAAGCTCCAACACTTACACCAGATAGATATTCAATCATCACCTCCATTGAGGACATACGAACTTCAAGACCTTCAACATGAGTTCCCACCCAGACGCAGACCTCCACCCCGTCGCCACAGGCCCGGCAAAATCCATCGTCGACGACCACCAAGCCGAACAGCCATTGAAACTCTACTCAGGATGGTTGTATGTATCTCAACCTCTCAAACCACACTCCACCAAGACCCTAACAAGCATATTCCTAGCTGCCCTTTCGTCCAACGAGTCTGGACAGTCCTCGAGGAGAAGAAGATTCCTTACCAATACATCGAAGTCAACCCCTACCACAAACCCACTTCCCTCCTCGAACTCAACCCGCGAGGATTAGTCCCCACGTTACAATACGACAACAAACCTTTGTTTGAAAGCACCGTTGTCTGTGAATTTCTCGAGGAAGCGTTTCCGGATTATGGACCGCAGTTGATGTCCCGGGATCCTTATGATCGAGCTCGCACGAGGATTTGGACGGATTTTTGTACGAGTAGGATTATTCCTGCTTTTCATCGATTTTTGCAGTTTCAACCTATGAGTGATGAGGAGGGATTGAGGGGGGTTAGAGGGGAGTTTTTGGGGACGTTGAAGGAGTTTGTGGGGGAGATGGAGGGGAGTGGACCGTTCTTTTTTGGGAGGGAGCCTGGGTTGATTGATTTTGTGGTTGCGCCTTGGATTGTGAGTTGTTTGTTCATCTTGCGGATTGATTGAATGGAATGCTGATTTGATGTGTGTAGGTGCGTCTTTGGGTATTTGATCATTTCAAAGGGGGACTGGGGATTCCTGAAGTGGGGGAAGGAGGTGATGATGAGAATGTTTGGAAGAGGTTGAGGGTGTGGATTGAGGCTCTGGAGGAGAGACCGAGTGTTAAGAATACGCTTAGCGAGAGGGAGTATTATCTGCCCATCTATCAGCGTTATGCGGATGATAAGGCACAGAGTGAGTTGGCTAAGGCGACTAGGAAGGGGAGAGGTGTGCCTTGAGGTAATGGAGAGGTGGAGGTATCGAGAAGTACTGTGTCTCGATATAAGCCTCTGAACATGACTGATTATGAGATCTTGCTATAGACTGTGGGAAGTCATGTCTGTCGCCCGAAGGACATGCATGCGACTTTGCACGAGGCACGTCAACCAAGCAACTTGTAAGTTTTGTCCCGCATACCCATCATAGTTGCATCTTCCGCCCACTTCCGCATCTGTATATCTCTCCACCCATCAGACTCATTCCACAGACTAAGCCGCATCTCTGTGAATCGAACGAACAAGATGCAGACATAGAGACACTGAGACAACGATATTGCTTCTTCGAAGACCTGTACGCCATCTAAGGGGAAATCAGGAAAGCCTGGGAAGGCTTTTCTGCTCGGAATGTCGACAGAGACATCGCCATTAGGTATTGTCACGCAAGCTAGAATCGATTTGGTACTACGCCTCGAAATCCAGCAGCCTGATCGTAGGAACTCTAGTGGCCATCAAGGCTCCAAAATATCCGCATATCAATCTGACTTTACCTGTATCTTACGCCAATGCCATCACGGCAGGCGAGAATAGGGGATAAAGTAGCCTTGCCATTTCCTATCATGCTCATGCGTTTCTCGTATGTTGCGAAGGAGTGTGTGAGTCTCGAGCTCAGAATTGAAGGGACGGGCTTGCGGACTCGGAGAGAAGTTCTTACTTGATTGGAAGTGCCGTAATAACGATCTGAGCCCACCGTAGGCTCGCGGTTCCGACGCTCAAATGGAGAGTGACAGCCGTGCAATCAGCGGATCGGTGAATGATCACAAGTGCTCTTGCTCTAGGATCATCATGATGGTCTCAAATTTGGTTCTTGTTGTTGTTGCAAGAAAGATTGAGATAGGATGGGTTCGAAAAGATTCATCGACGGGGAGCGGGATCGGCCGCGCGCTACTTTATATTTCGAGAAGTGAGAAGATTAACCCTCCTTCTTACATACATCATCATCACAGTCATCAAAAGCCCACATTCCACGCAATTCTCCAGCAGACAAGCCGCAAATAGGCCATCCAGAAGGTGCATCGGCGAGTCCCTTCACTTGGAAGTCAATGTCAAGCTTGTTCCTACCCTACAACTACAAGATGGCAACCCCGCGCTGCCTATCACGCAAAGAGCGAGGAATACGCAACAGTGCTCCTGCTGTAAAGAAATCAAATACTACATCAAAGATTGTCAAAAACGAGACTGGCCAAGCCATAAACTGCTCTGGAGAACCTTCTCATCTTTCCAAACCCAACTATCACCAAATCCTCGAAGAGTCATCGTCTCTGCCGCCGATACGATGACACCAACATGAGAATRGCTTCCAATTGAGTGTGCCATGCAGCCAGAAATAGAAGCTGTCTACAACATGGACCCCAGAGCGACGTCCCTGGACGAGAAGAACTGTTCCAAGGATCAGAAGTCAGTGGCCCAAGACTGGAGTACAACATTGTGCTTGTCTATGATTATTGCACGTTCATCAACCATAGACAGAACGAGCAGTACATTGCTGCTAGGAAGGCTACCAGGAGAGAGTGGAATGGGAAGTGAAGAGGTCCACWCGTTGCCTTACGACTGGATCTTGATACAGAGACGGGAATGTCTTCCAAAGCTGGCAATATGGACATGAAGGAGTATGGTGAGCCGATTCGGCACTTGAATCGTCATCTTAAAGGCCCAAGAGACTGACTTGCAATGGGGGAGTAGGATGCGTGCGGCTTAACGAAATATCAGTTTGGATTAAGGATCAGTTCTGACGAGGCATTCAGATGTCAATCTGTATCCTGCCAGTTGAGCATGAACCTATTGTCGTAACTCCAATGGAACACTGTTCCGATTCAATGATTGGATGCAGGGCATACAGCTCATCGAAACTCAATACATGCATGATCGTCGATGACGATCATCACCCTAAACATCCCACAATGTTGTACTCCACGAGCCGAACTCCCGAACATCTCAGCACCCCGAGATCTTACGTCCCTCTCATCACATCATGAGGAAAGACTACCAAAGATGTCCGGGAGTAAGGGCAAAGATGTCCCGCTCAAATTCATAACATACAACACTGCTCCCGATCCTCAAGATGAAAATGTCAAAAGGGAAGTGCGTTCACACGTCACTCGAATGCAGCACCGTAAGAAGGGCCATCGAATTTATACCAAACGAAAGCAGCGAATGGATCAATCGAGACACGATGTCGAATTGCAACAAGAGCTTGGGATAGTGGATGTGGAAGACGGCAGTCTTGCATCGTCGAGCTTAGATGCGGCCGATATTTTCTCAACACATGGAAGCAGGAGGACGAGAGATAGGGATATCCAAGTGACAGACACTCACAGTCCATCTTTACCACTCTCTCCCAGTGCCGGAAGACTGGCACGGGCCTCAAACATAGCAAGCAACGTGTCCCGACAGACCGTCCTACAGGATCCCGCAGATCAAATGGCAAGCATATTGAAACGTTTGAAGCTTGACTTCCCCACCGTCATGGTAAGTCACGGCATCCCAGGAGCAGCAAGAACTCCAACATAACAACTCCATGTATAGGAGCATTACAGATGGATCGTCTACGCCCAATCCCCCGATTTCGAAGCCACATTCATGCCCGAGCTTCCACGAGGTGCTGGCTACGAGACTTTGATCTCACGAATAGCTCGAGACCCTGCTCTTGTGGGAAGTGCGGCATTGGTTGCTACRGGACATATTCTTGCGATAAGGAACACGACCATGAGTCGGAATATCGCGCGATGTATTCTCGAGCTGAAGGAGTTTGTGTTGAATACTGTCAATGAGGCTCTGCGAGATCCTGCACGGGCTACTTCCGATCCTCTGATCTGTGCGATTTTGATCCTAGCTAGTCATGAGGGTTTACAAGGTAAGGAATCCTCTCAAGGTGGACAGAACTGGTCTGGGTACTGGGAATGCTCATGTGATTTCTGCAGGTCGGCACGAAAGTTTCCACATCCATATGCGAGGTCTCGTCCAGATGATTAATCTCCGCGGAGGTCTTTCCCAGTTGAATGGGGATCAGAAGTTTCTGGAAGCGTTTATCATGTGGCAGGACACTAATGTTTCGACGCTTATGGGTTGTGAACCGTATTGGAAGCAGGCTCATAGTCCTACTGAGGGGATGCCGGCTGTTGGACCCAATCCTGCGATGTGGTTGTTGAAAGRGGTTTGATTGATCGGTACATTGGTAAAGGGCCTTCTCGCTGCTTTGATGGGCCCGAAGCATACAAATCAGGTATTGATATCCTTCAACCGTCAACCTCGGATCCGTCAAAGAAGACGTCTGGCTACGATCTCCTTTCTGGCCGTACAGCGATCATGGTAGAAAGCTCCTCATACAAAGATGTATATCCCATCGTACTTGAGCCCGCACGGGCGATCGAGCTCGCTGGTCAAAAGGCAAGCGAGACATCATTTAAGAACAAGATGATAGATGAAGGACCCAGATCTCCACTCGTCGATCTGCATCGATACCGTTGCTAGTCTCGATATCTCTGCATCAGATCAGTAACTCGCCGAAACGGATTTTCTCCTTTCCATCTTTCCCTCCCCTCTTCATCCCACGTCAAAGAAGCAACACCAACTTACTCCATGCAGTTGCTCGCGCTCACGCTACCCCATATCGCAGCCCGTACCAAGTCGAATTCCTTCCTCACTAATCGTACAGCTAGACTATCCAGAAAGCTATTCCCACCTTCAGTTATATCAACTAATTTTATCTTCTGAATCGTATATATCAGGAGATGGTTGCAAAGGGAAGGCTGTCAGGACCACGCTCTGATGTATTCCTGCTGTGGTGTGATTCTTTGGCGCTTACACCCGTGTATTGGTTCAAACTCCTTGTTGGCTGTCTCTTATGCACTCATGACGCTTCTCATCTTGCAAATCCTTGACACCGTCAAGACGATCCATGACCCTTCAATGCCTGCTCCAACTTCTCCGCCAACACCCTTCTTTCCTGTCTTTCAAATCTGCAATTCCAATCAAATCCCACCACAACCTCAATTGAGTCAACGTCCAGTCCTGTCTCTCTCTCGAATACTATGTCCGTCACATCATCCAACACAACATCCAGCTCTAGATGCTTCAATCCAGGCATACGACTTCTCACAACATCTACAATCTTTCCCAGACCTTCGATATCGCAAGTGACGTGCAACCGCTCAATCGCAGCAACCTGCCAAGGTTCCAGCCAAGTCTCCACCGCAGACTTGAAGTCCACTCCGACCCCCATATCAAAAGAATACAACTTGAAAGGCAAGACCCTCGCCTCATCATAAATTCTGCCACAACTCCTCAACAACCCATCTACCCAAACCGCAGAATCCGCATGAAGTTTCTTGAGACCTTGCTTTGCGGTCGGCGGTCCGAATTCCAGTTCCAGAATCTTCTGCTGTTCCAGACAACTCGTACAATTCCGCGTATCATGTCGCACATACTGATTATGCAGTGCACAGGGAGTGGAAGCGTATCGCTGTAGTAACATGTCCCGCTGTGGATCCGAGTAGCATTTCCCGTGTTGCATATCCCAATTCGGGAAGATGTAGTCTGAAGTTGAGAGTGCAGGGAGGTGAGGTAGATGACCGCGGGAATTATGATACATGACGGGAATGTTCTCACTGGACATTTTGGACAGTGCGTAGCGGGTAGAGAAGGTGGTGGGATGGGAGCAGGTTGAGTAGGTGAGCTTTTGGTAGTCGTGCATTACGACACCTTCGATCGTTGTGCAGTGATGGAAGAGAGGAGACTCGGATTGAGTGCACGAGCGCATGATGATGTGCACTTGGCCCGTACCAATAACTGAGGATGTGGAGTAAGCGATTGCATTGAAGACGTTTGAGAGAATGCTTTACCATATTCGTAGATTTGTTGACGTAGTTCGGCTGGGAGACGAAAGAGATGTGATTCAGACTGTGGATGAAGTTCTTTGGTGTTTACTTCCAGGCCGGGTTCACGCGGGGAGAGCATTGTCTCCTGRGTGGTAGCCATGGTGGAAGTGCGGGAGCGGTAGGGGAGTAACAGGAATAGTTGCGTGCAGCCCTTGCCTTTGTTATATAAATTGATCCGTACGAACGAAGTCTAATGATGTATGTGACAGCTGTCATACTCCGTACAGCTTCTCCGCCCACCCCCGAGGTAAGTTGATGAAAGGGTCTCTGAGATGATCTTGAAGTCAATGTGATGTCGTCCGAAAAGTGGGGCACGGCTCCTCCCGGGCACATGAATTTCGACGTCTCTTTCTCTCCCACCCGCAGCGTCACCACCACCCCATCCCTCTCATCACACACATCATGGGCGTCGCATTTGATTACGCGCCGGAGAGGCCGGAGAACATTGACCAAATCCTCAATGGACTCGACCGATACAACCCCGAGACAACGACCATCTTCCAGGAGTACGTCGCGCAGCAATGCGCTGATCAGACCTATGACTGCTATGCCAACCTGGCACTGTTGAAGCTGTAAGCAACACGCCCTTCTCACAGCATCCACCTGCACCACTCCCTCACCTGATGATCCAACACAAAACGTTTCCTATTAGCTGAAGGCACTTGAACCTGCCGTACAATGAAGCGAAACACATGTATTAGCTCTATCTGATTGTGCTCCTCCACACCACCTCCATTCATCCAGAACGTATCAAAGATRGCATTCACTGACAACGAATACAATCTACAGCTATCAATTCAACCCACACCTCACACGCGACGAGTCCATCATCAACATCCTCGTCAAGTCCCTTACAGTCTTCCCTTCTCCAGACTACTCCCTCGCCCTCTCTCTCCTACCACCACATGTAACCCTCAGCACATCCAAGACCGAGCTCTCAGAAGCCGTCGCAAACATCTCCGCTCTACACTCACACCTCAACAATGCCGAATACGCATCGTTCTGGTCAACGCTCGAGTCAACAGACGACTTCTCCGATCTCGTGGCTGATGTGCAAGGCTTTGAAGACACCATGCGGATACGCATCGCGGTGGTCGTCTCGCAATGTATGCAAAGCATACGGGTGCAGGACATGCAGAGCTGGTTGAACTTGAGCAATGAGAGCAAATTCAATACTTTCATTGGAGACGTCTGTGGCTGGAAGATTGAGGGCGACAAGGTCGTTGTTCCTTTGAACAAGGAGAACGAGGCGAGAAGTGTGGTGCAGAGGGAAGACGTCAAGTTTGGCCAGTTTGCCAGATTGGTCAAGAGGAGTTATGAGGTTCAGGCATGAATGAAGTGTGAGGCGGGAAAGTGGTTTCTTGTGCATTCCAATGGAGCGCGGCGTTTGGCATGGGATGGGAAAATGTGATTCGAATAGATCACTGCTTACGTGCTATGAAATGCACAAATGAAGAAATGAAGAAGAATCTTCAAAGCGTATGCTGATTGCAGCGCTATCTCATTATCATCATCATCATCTCACTTTCTTTCTCATCTCAATTTTATCATGTCGGCTTCTTGTGAGTCGCAGCCTCCTCCCATTGTACGAAAGCGCACTCCTCCACAAACCCAATCCCTCCGTCCGGATAGCAGTCCTTCTCACAGCATCCCACAATCACACTTCCCCAATCCATGCCATCAAGACTCATATCATCCTTCTCCAACTCCATAATCAATTGCGGTGTAAGCTGCAGCTCAAACACCCTTCCCGCTCCACAGTTCCCACATCTTGGCAGCGCAGTTGTCGAAATTTTGCCTTCGGTCGCAGAAAACTTCTTGCCTATCGCATCCGTCTTGGAGTACAGCAATGGCTGTCCCGCGTATTCATACCGCAAAATCTGCTCCGGGTTCTGTGCTAACCGATCTGCGAATTTCTGAAAGGTCTTGTCCATGCTGCTTTCAAATGCGTCTTTGACTCCCATTCCGTCGGCGGAGTCGTCAATACGGACGTTTGAGGGCACTGCGGTGTTGGGAGTTGGGTCGATGTATTCTGCTCCAGCATCGATATGTGCTGAAGGGTAAGGTTTCGGGAACGAAGATTCTGACGGCCAGGGTTCGGAAGGTGTCGGAGCTGGTGTTGTGGTTGTTGAAGGGCTAGAGATACGTGCTTTGTCGGCGAAGGTTTCTGGGAGGGATGGTTGCTCCTGTTCCTCTTGTGTAGGCTTTTGTGCGGGCTTCGCTGCGAGTGAGGACGTTGCTGCGAAAGGGTTTGCGTTCTTGTTTCCTCCTCCACTTGCAAATGGGTTTCCTCCAAAAGGGTTGCCACCAGCGGATGCGTTGTTGGGTTTCACACCAAACAGTGCCTCTCCGACTCTCTTCGGCGCCTCCTCCTCTCTTTTCTCCTCCACTACCGGCTCTTCCACGACCTTCTTCTCTGACGCCGAACTTCCGGCAGCTACCCTCACACCCCTGAATGCTCGCACACTTCCATCCTTCCTCCGGCACGTCTTTCCTCTGCAAACCCACACATACAATCTCCTCTCATGGCCTGGGAAGTTATCCGGAAGGTCGCCGTTGAGTTGGAGCATCAAACTCATGAATTTGTTGCACACTTTGCATTTTGCAAGGGTCACCGAGGGTAAATGAGCGGGATCCAGCCATTTCTACATTGTCACTTCCGTCAGCATTTGAAGACAACATGAGGAAGTAAGGTCGTCATACAGGATGTCCACCGATCTGGCTGAAATCGTCGCTGGTGGGAGTTACGGAGGCGTAGCCGAGAAGAACTTTAGTGCGGATATCGCCCGAGCTATCGACTGACGAGTCGGAATCATAGTCTGCCATGGTGGGGGTTGGTGATGTTGAAGATGAGCTGGTGAAGCTTGGGAAAAATGTTTGGGTGGAAAGATTTATCCGGCGATAAGCCTTATCGCCGGAGTCGGATAGGTATTGACTTCATCCGCTTTCACGAATCAACCAATGCAAGAACAATCGCGTGCATCAAAAGGCAAGACAAGTCATTGAACGCCATCCTAATCGAGTATCGCTCATCTGAACAACTTGGATTTCTCACGAAACAAGATGTCTACCCTCACTATAAGAAGGACAGAGGAAGATCAAGTCCAAGGAGACCCAGTCCGAGAAGATGAAGAGCGAGCACAGGATGAGCCAGCAGAAGCAGAAGACCACTCCCATATTTCCCAACTCCTTGCCCTCCCCCGTGAACTCCGCGATCAAATCTTCCTCCCTCTACTCCAACTCTCCCCAGGTTACTCCACTCCTCCCTCTCAACCCCACATTACATTCACCTGCCACCAACTCCGATCAGAAACACTCCCAGCATTCTACGCAATCAACACATTCCGCTTCCAACTCGATTTCACAACATTGCTTGYCCAAAATCAGGCCTGGTTGAAGAGGACTGGGAATGCAAATGTGGAGTTGTTAAGGAAAGTGGAGTTGGTGGGATGGAGGAGGATTCCATTTGGACACATGTTTAGGCGTGTGAAGATTGTTATTTCGGTTGACTTACGGGCAGGGCAAATCGACATTGGAGGCGAGGGAGAGTTGGAGAGTGAGGATGTGAAGGCGGTACGAAAGCGTTTCGATGATGGGAAGGAGTTGGGGTGGGATGTGGTGCGATTGGGTGAGCTGATGGAGGCGTTCTGGTCGGGATGTGCGGACAATTATTGAGCTGAGCCTTTGCATCTGCAACTCCTTTGCGATCTCCCGGCAACTACCACAAAAAGTTGAGGTGATAGTATCTGCCATGGGCAAGCAAGCTATCCGTGCACATCGGGCATATAGAATACTCCCAGCGCTCGCCTGACCAAAAACTATCGATCACGACGAAGTCCACTGCATAGCGCTAGAGGAGTCGTGGACTCAACTTCCCAAACCACAGCACGTAGTCTTGGGAGACTTTAGAAGTCAAGCGAGACATACCGATGGCTACCACGAGTACCTCATACGGCGACCATTTGAGCGAGCAGCGGAACCCCATCTCCTGTGCAACAGGGAAGGGTATGAGTATGATGCCTTCTGGCAAGTGCTCGACTCGAACAACTCCACGGACGAGCGCAGACCTTAATAGTCATGAAAGCATTGGTCTGGCTGAACGCCTCCAACTTTAAAATCATGCCTAGCGATGACTTCAACGTGGACTCGTTCCACCTACATCATCACCTTGATTTCCAAATCACTCGACCAAACACCGGCCTTTATAGCGCTCTCAAACTCACTGATATACAACGCATCATTCTCGGAGACGTGGCCTCAAAGCCAGCAATGGTGACAGCCGCAAGCGAATCATGATCTGCATGAAGGCCATCGATCTTTACATTGAGCACGGTCTTTATATGTGAGAACTCAATATCCTTAGCATAGGCTTGCTCGAAAGATATTCCATTGTCCAGGAACAGCTCGGCGGTGGCTTGACCACAGTTATCAAGCGCAACCAGGAGACTCCATAGCTTGTGTCCGGAATGACAAAGCTGGGGAAACGCATGATGCATGTATTCTGCGACACCATGTAGTGGTCGTGTCGTGGTCGTGGTCGTGGCGTCCCTCTGCACAAACGTAATGAGGTGTGGAAAAGCATATACTGGCCGAAGTGAGACTGGTACCACCAAAACGGCCGTGGTCGGCGGATGAGATCTCATCAGACGGTGAGGACTAAACTCTGGTCCACGTAAGCGTTTTGCGGTCCACATGGCCAGATCTTCCATCTCGGCAATTGCTTGTTAGAGTTTACCTCCCGCCATTCCATTGGGGACTTGGGACCAGTGCCATGGCGAGCACTTCATGCATGCAATCTGCCTAGGAGTACATGTGGTCGAACATCCATGAAGAGCTCGTCCTGGTCGGTAGCCTCTGGAATCATTGCTTGTCATCCTTGAATATCGCAGACCTCGCGCATCGTGGCCTTCCTTTCAGAAGAGACTCGACTCTGTGAGGAAATCGCCAATTGGTCAAAGCWAAGCGATTAGGCCATCCATAGTTCATCATCAAGACCTGTCGTATCCGCGCCGGGTCCATACTTCGATACTTGCTTTTTCGGGTAATGTGGAAGATCAACTTGCGTTGACTATACGTTAGCCATGTGTTCCACTACTGCGTAAAGTTCGACACGTGCACATATTAGTTGATGTGCTCCCACACTTTTCCATGATGACAGTGCTAAGGAATTTGATCTGATACCCATTCGACTCTGCTACCCTTTCGCCCTCTTGTCAGATCCGAGGCAGATCCGCCACATTCGTCGATGATCGGTTGTCCTTCCTATTCAAGTCGTGCGCTGGACCGAATTGAATCGCGATCGTAAATGCWGACCATTTACGGAGGTCGTCGCTGGGCGTGGTATACGCGGGTAGGAGGCGCTGCTTCTCGGCCACGCACCACGCACACTTTTATGTCTTGATTGTTCTGCTTCTCCTTTAGCACGCCCAATTTTCACCAGGAGTCTGAAGTCAGCCAGCTCTCGGACTGACAGCCGCATTTCACAGCCGCATCGCAAAATCTTAAAAATACATCCAGTGTAGATTGCTTCCCTCGCAGCTTCGCGTCCATTCGTTCTGGCGAGTTCAAACCACACCGCAAGATTTCGGAAGGCAAATCCTGTCAGACCGTCTCTCACCTTTCTCTGGCATGATCATGAGTGCAATGTCGCAATCCGCCGGCTCATCCCTACAGCCAACACCTTCGAAGGAATCCTCACCGCGAGACTCTGTCCCGGCCACACCTGCAACAATCCTAACCGAAGAAAGCTCGTCAGGCAAGGAGAGCATAGCCACTCAACTGGAGCACATATGCGTCGGCGGTGCCCTCGCAACCAACAATCGCGATTTCGATTACCTGAAGAACGACTTGTGGAAAGTCGTCACTCCAACTTTCCGCGCTCACTTTGAGAACTTCCCGCATCCCCTAACCCTGGCAGAGCACTCGAATATACTCCGACAGACCATCCGGGAGTTCCCGGACTACCATGTGGAGATCAAATCGGTGTGCTCCCAGGTATCGGAGGATGAAGGGAATGCCATTGTTTACATGGAGACTGAGATCACCGGGGCGCCGAAAAATGTCAAGACGTACCTGATCAATGAGTTTCTGTTCAGGCGTGAGGAGGGCGTTTGGAGGTGCCATCATCATAATGGCATGAAGGGTATCAGTGATTTCAACTTGCTGTAGTCCGGAGAGGAAGTAGTAGTGCATGTGTTGATGGCGAATCAGCAGTGTCGTTTTGGACCACAGTGTCGGGAGTACGGCCGTGGCGGCCATTGTTTGTATGCAAAAAGCATAGCCTTTAGACGGGAGGATATGAATTGATGAACATAATGTCAAGGATCAATGCAGGAAGTGAAGGAATGATACTACCTGCCTATAGAGAATAGTATAGAGATCTCCAGGAAACCGCGGCCCAAGCTTCACCCTCAAGCAACAACAGCTCGGTAGGTCATCATTCACCCCGACACCACCTCCACGGCGACAACACTCTCCACACACAAACACTTCCTACGTCAACATCAGAAGCCTCTTCATCATGTCCGCAACAATTCAAACCGCCCTGCGTAACTTCGGCAAGCAAACGTAAGGTCGCCGCGCAAGCATGCCGACTCCGCAGCTCTCACACTCACACATCACAGTTCGCAGATCACACGCCAGAACGTCCGCTCCCCAATCGCACAATCAATCGCCTCGCAAAATGCACGACGGACCTTTCAGACCAGCAGCAGAGTGATGCAGGATACCATTGTCACGCCCAAGAAGCCAATCGGCGCATTCAGAGGATCGTGAGTCTGTCACAGGCGTCATGGTTGGATTGGGACACGGACACGCAGCTGACGGCTGGTCATCTAGACTCTTTGGATTTCTCATGGGAACTGTGCTTGCTGGCGGTTCGCTCTACTACTACGTGGTCGACGAGTACAAGGTTTCCAACACCCTTCTCACCGAAGACATCTACGTAAGCCCATCCCTCTGCTCGAGAGTCCTGAGAAAGCACTGACATGGTGCAGTCCCTACAAGCCGCGGTACAGAGATTAGAGGGATACGTCAAGAACCTCGAGCAAGAAGTGAAGAGCAAGAAATGAAGAGCAAGAAATGAGCAACCGATGCCCGACAGAACGCTCAAAGCAAAGGAGTCTTTTGAAAGATCTCATTTCTTGTACAATGTCCCTCACACACTATATACCCCCAAACGCAGACTGCTCACTCCGTTCAAGAATCACGCGTGTGCAAATTGCTGAATGGCTGGGTCGATCTCTGTCTCGATGCTCGTCAGAAGACGCCGGCCTGCCTCTTTTCCTATATAATCATCCAAATACCCCGATATCATGACAAGGCCCCTCATACCTTCTGCTCGATTTTTTGTGCGACCACTTGCTTTGCCTCRGATGCCTTTTCTGTTGCAAGCTTCGCTAGCTTCTCGAGCTGCTCTTTTCTGAGCTGTCTGACGTATCTGAAGAGAAGGATAAAAAGGAGCTCCACACGCTCCTTGGTCATCATGAGGATTCMCTGCACGAGGAAACCCTTGAGCAATTGTGGTGCAACGCCCTTGTAGAGACCAAGGAGACCCTCGCGCTCCACAATGTATCTCATCACATCGACGAAGCCCTCGAATGGCTTGCCGTTTCGTGCTGGAGGTGGCTTGGATTGAAGAGCGACCTTTGAGATAATCAAGGGTTGTGTGGCCATGGTCGCCATCATCTTGGAAAGTGAGCCGAGGACTGTGCAGCTGTCAGATTGGTCAAATCACAGCGAACTTGTGCAACTCACGGAAAGCCTCATGTGCTGCAAGCTTGAGCTTGTTGGGGAAAAGCAGCGTTTGTAGTCTTGCGTAGGCGCCGTATGTGATGGAAGGGTTGACAACCAACACCATGCTCGCCTTGATGCCTCTCCACAAACCGGCTACACCCTCCGGACCATCAACGATCTCCTTTGCCGTCTCGAACATGCCCTTTTTCTCGCCCTTGAGTTGCGTCTGCTGCCGGGTCGTGACGACAGAGATTGGGATTGTGAAGATCTGTGCCAGAGCACCTGCAACGGCACCCATGGACAGCTCGACCAATGTGCTTGCAGGCTTGTCATTCTTGGAAATCCTTGTCTGGTACATGGTGCGTACCAAACTATAGCAGTAAAAGTAGGCAAAGTTGGTGCTCACAACGCCGAGTAGACTGCCTGAGATACCGGTGAACAAGCCCGAGATACCTTCGTCGTCGACGATGTGCCGAATTGCATGCATGGTTCCGTCGTAATGCACATGATCGGCTGCGTCTGTATGGGTATCCTTTGCATTTCTCTTAACCTGCACCTGCAGCCGGGTCTTGACGACATCTAGAGGGTAAACCAGAGCGTTCGCAACGAGCGCACCAGCAGAACCTGCGAGCGCATTACCCCATGGCGGAAGCTCTTGCTTGGACACCGCGGGGGCCATCGCGGTATGTGATGTGTGAGTTCGTTTATGGGATTCGGCAATCGATTATCCGGTCGACCAGTCCAAGATGCAAGCTCCAGAATATAGCCGAGCTGGAACGAGACGAGATCCGAAGATGGTGGTGCGAGGTCGAGATGTTGATGGTGTTGTCGCAAGTGTCTTCCCGACGTAGAAACACTAAGAACAAGACGGCCAGGTAGCCGGGTTGCTCACAAGCAGGCGAGAAACTTGTCACCGTGTATCGGTGCTGGCTCACCTGGACCTCGGTCACGGACGATAGTGAACACGGCACGGTCTCGAAGAGAAGGTTCGCGGTTCGCGGCGAATGCTGAACCCAAGCGGCCGCAGCGGCAAGTTCCCAATCAAAGTTGATTCTATTCCAATCACATTTGATGACTAGCGTGATATGGCAAGATCCACCGGAATTTTACGGCCGGGCGGCCGAAAGTCGGACGGTATCTCGGATCTCATCCGATGAACGTCACCAATCACATGCATCGCATCGCATCGCACCACAATCACATGCACGGCAACCAAGCGCGGACTTCACCATTTCCCATCAACGGTCCACTTCCACTGCGATCTTGCGAGGATTGATTCGCTTCCAATCAAACGCCAGGATGCTGAAGACTCTGAGGGTCTGATAAACCCCACGAGCAGAGAGACGCTGTATACACCGCGGCTGATGCAGAAGCCATGAGCCTACCCAGCAAAGACCTAGAGGAGCTGAGAGAGGATGTCGACAGATATGAACAACAAGTCGCGCAGTCCGGCAGCAGAGAAGAGGCTCTGGAACTTGCCATCAGAGCTGCGGAAATTTCTATGAGAGCCCTCAATCTCGTCAGCGATCCAAATGAAAAGGTCAAGTACTCGACACGAGCCAAGCAACTTATGCGACAGGCCGAGCAAATCAAGCAAAGCGGAGAATGGAGAAGATCTGCTCCCAGAATTCCTGTACAGCCGCCATTGAGAACAGAACAGGCGAGGCTGCTCAAGGAGCCTGTCAATTCTCGCAAGCTCCCTACAAGTGAGAAGATACTCTTGCTCAAAGCTAGTTATCTCAACGGCGTCAAGTTTCCGCCCTGGGAAGGTCCACCTTCTGACAGTGAGTTTGAGCGGAGACCGGGTGAGGCTCTCTTTACGTACGTCTCCTTTGTTTGTCAATCATCATGTTTATACGCTGATGTAGGTCGATCAAAGCGACGAGCATTCCGAACTGCCACTATCGGAATTCCAAGCAGAGGTACTAGATGATTGGAAACGACCAATTGATGCGCTACCTCCACCGTCTTGGTTTCCTGAAGATCGAACGAATCTTGGGCCCGTCGTGGAGCACGTTGGAGAGGTTGACCTCGTCCAAGATGCTGCCACCGACTGCTCCGTAGTCGCCTCTCTATGTGCCGCTGTTGCGAGGGTGAAGCGTGGCCATCCTCTCATCTTCCAAACATGCATGTCTCCCTTCGATCGGGAGAAGCAACTACCAAAGATTTCGATGAACGGGAAATATATCGCATGCATGAACTTTAATGGCTGCTTTCGCAAAGTTGTCATCGATGATCGCATTCCGACCAGCAATAAGAATAGAGTGATTCATGTGGTGGACAGGAACAATCCAGGCCTATTGTGGCCGCCTCTGATTGAAAAGGCATATCTGAAAGTACGAGGAGGCTACGACTTTCCCGGCAGCAACAGCGGCACCGACATTTGGATTCTCACAGGATGGATTCCTGAGCAAGTCTTCCTCCAGGATAGTGATCTGGACTTGGACAGGTTCTGGAAGAGAATCGTAAAAGGCTTCTCATACGGAGATGTGCTTGTTACTATGGGTACAGGTCAAATTTCGAAGAAGACTGAGAGAGCGCTTGGACTTGCTGGGGAGCACGACTACGCAGTGCTTGACTTGAGGGAGGTCGATGGTCAGCGCCTCATGCTCGTCAAGAATCCGTGGATGGAAGGTAGTAGCTGGCATGGAAGATTCAAGGGCGTTGCCCGAGCTCAAAACAGAACTGGTGAAGAGAACCTGATCGAGCTGGATGACGAGCCTGTCGAGTCACCTCGCGACCTGCTCAACGTCGATGATCAATTGAGACCAGGAACCTTTTGGATGGACATTGACAATGTGGTCCAACACTTTGAATCCATCTTCCTCAATTGGAATACCGGTCTTTTCTCTGTTCGGGAAGACGCTCATTTCACCTGGGATTTATCCGAGAGCGAAGATCCAAACGTTTCTCGAAAGAACCGAGGGGCGTATGCGAGCCTGCAAAACGTCCCGCAATTCACGGTCACCGCCAGCCGGGGTGGAACTATTTGGGTACTTCTCTGGCGTCATTTCCAGAACTACGTCCCCGAAGACGCAACACAGGAAGAGATTGAAAGCGGCCGCAACTTTATCGACCTCAGCGGCTACATCGCTTTGGCTGTGTTTGACTCGATTGGGCGAAAGGTCGTGCTTGCGGAACGGTGCCTTCAAAAGGGCTTCTTCGTCGACAGTCCACAGACGCTTCTCAAGCTAGAAGATTGTGAGCCGAACAAGGTTTACACCATTGTACCTCTTGAGCAGGACCTGCATGCCACGCAGCACAACTTTACCGTCTCAGCGTTCAGCAACTCGCCGTTTACGCTGTCGGATGCCACGCCGCGATACCCTTATGAGAAGAGAGTTGCTGGAGCCTGGACAAAAGAGACGGGTGGCGGGACTTCACAATCGCCAACATACTTCGACAACCCACAGTACACCATTCATGTTCCGCAGAAGACGAGCATGAGCATGCTACTTGAGACTAGTGACGTTAAGCTGAATGTGCATGTCAAATTGCTACACAGTAACGGCCAGCGTCTCCATCGAATGGGCCAGAAGGACATCATCGTGGACAGCAAGGAGTACCGACCGAGCTGTTGTTTGGCTGAGGTTGAAGAGCTTGAAGCTGGAAACTACACCATCATCTGCAGCACTTTTGAACCACAACAAGTCGGGACATTCACCTTACGCATTGACTCCTCGCAGCCCATCGCCGTCCAGCAGCTTCCACGAGAAGGTGCGGGCAGAATCCGAACAGAACTCAGCATCGTCAATTTCAAGCGTGGCGAGAGCAAAGTTGCCGCACCATTCTCACCACTCCGGCTGATGAACTTCTACGCTATCGTCAAGCACCGCGACCAGCAGGAACGCTTTCTCCCTCAGACACAGCAGCGGTCAAACCACTCGCACATTCGTTTGAGCGTGGAATTAGGCCGAGGGCCTGATCGACATGTTGTTACTGCATCTAATGGAGGCGATTACGCTGATAGTTCGGGCTTGGTGCGGACGGAGCCCGTGGATCTCGGCCCGAACTTCAGGAGGTATGGACATCGGGATTGTTGGTTGGTGTTGGACCGGATGTACGTGAGTGAGGAGACGCGTGAGGAGAGGTTTGCTGTGGAGCTTTTTGTGGACAGGCCGGATGCTGTGGAGGTGGGGGTCTGGAGGGCTTGGGAGGATTGATTGTGGCAATATCATGTTGTGATTAGCGAGGTGTTGGGGAGTTGGTTGCTTTGATACCACCTTGGCTGTGATAGCTGCAGGTGGATGTGTTGAGGAGGCCAAGAGAATTGGAGCACATATCTATCATGTCTGCATCACACGAATGTTAACATGTGATGGCTGTTATTCACGTGGGGTTTCAGGTGCATCAGCGGGTGCTCCTGACCCTGGTTCCTTGCGATCATGAGACGGGATGATGCGGTGAGACCGAACGATTTCGTGGGAAATGTATTGGACAGGAACGTTCTGTTCTTCCGGCTGCAGTTTGAGCACGCGTTGATAGACGAGTATCGTAGACATATAGTCACCACTGCTGAGAGAGTCTTCAACATAACAATCACGCGACTTCAAGACCATTCCTCATTCCCTGCGAGAAGACAGCACAAAAAGACGTTCGTTATCGAAGCGTCTTGTCTTGGGACGGTTCCGTTCCCCGGCAAAATTCAGCGGGGCCGACGTCACCGACTTCAACAACTTGGGAGGTGAAGCGGCAGTGGGTTGGCTTGCACTTTACTGCTGGACACATCCAGATCTTGTCCAGACAAGTTGCGATTGTACACTTGTCCTCCTCGAATACGTCCGATCCCACATCCAACGCGCACAATCATCCTGCCAACTCCGGGAAAAAGAGCAGAGGTCTCCCCCACCAAGAGCCGAGCAGATCAGCTCCAGTTTTCGCGGCAACAGTGCCAGCAGCATGGCTTTTGGCAAGGATAAGAAGGCGGCAGATGCCACGGCGGCAGCAGGGTCAGACACAGATGCATCCTTTGTATCCGCCAAGAACTCGGTAGAAGGTGACAACGACAGACCGCAGACCGCCTCCAGCGGCAAGGATGCAGCATCAGTTCCCACGGACGGGCAGGTGCCTTCGGATACCAGCAAACTGAGGACGTTCCTTGGAATTCTCAGACGCTTCATTGGCGTTACGGATATAGCAGCTGTACGCTTTAGTCTGCCGGCGCAGCTGCTTGAGCCGATCCCCAATCTGGAGTACTGGCACTACCTCGACCGACCGGAGACCTTTGCCGCGATTGGTGACAGTGAAGATCCGTTGGAGCGGATGCTGGGATGTCTGCGGTTCTGGTTTACAAAGGACCTAAAGTACGTCAAGGGAAAGCCGTGTAAGCCCTACAACAGCGCCTTGGGCGAGTTCTTCCGCTGCACATGGGAGGTCGAGGGCAATGAAGCTGCCAAAACGACTTCCAACCCCAAACCGGTAAAGGTCAACTACCTCACCGAACAGACCTCGCATCACCCGCCCGTATCCGCGTTCATCTACGAGTGTCCGGAGAAGGGCGTCGAGGCGGTGGGCTACGATCAGCTCTCCGCCAAGTTCACCGGCACCTCTGTGAAGGTCACTCCGGGCCAGCACAACCAGGGCATCTTCATTCGGCTGCGCAATCGTGACAACGAGGAATACCAGCTCACCCACCCCGCGGCCTTTCTCGGCGGTTTCCTTCGAGGCAATCTCTACATCACCGTGGCGGACACATGCTACGTGACTTGCAAAAAGACGGGCCTGAAGACAATACTACACTATCTCGAGGAAGGTTATTTCGGCAAGACGCAGAACAAAGTGGAGGGAATCGTCTACAAACCCGCAGACATTTCCAAGGATTCCGTAACGAGGCTCAAGGACGTTCCTACGAAAGAGATTCTCGGGAGGATAGAGGGTGTCTGGACGGAGAAGCTCTGGTTTTCCAAGGGGAGTGCAGAGTTCAAGAAGACAAAGGAGGCGGATCGAATCCTGTTGATGGATGTTACACCTCTTCTTCCCATCGCGAAGCAATGTCCGCCGGAGGAACACCAACTCCCCAACGAGAGTCGGAAGTTCTGGGGACCTGTCACGGAACACATCCAGAGCAAGCAGTTCGGTCAAGCGACAACAAAGAAGCAAGAATTGGAGGAGCGGCAGAGAGAACGGGCTGCAGAAAGAGCAGCACAGAACAAGGAGTGGAAGCCTCGATTCTTCACGACTGTCACGGAAGGCGATGGAAAGCCGGTGGTCAGTGGAGAGGGCAAGGCTGCTATGGAGGGTTTGCAGAAGGGAGACTATAAGTTGAGTGAGCCAGAAGAGTATGGTGCTCTGTGACGGTCGTGAGTCGAGATTTGCATTGATGATGGCGAGAGGAGAGATGCATGCGAGCGAGCAAAGACTATGGTTGTAGATGCATTGGGAATGGCGTGAGGGAGTGGTGTCAACTTTTTATTTTCTCTTTTTTTCTTTTTTTCGCGTCATACAACTGCAAAGGCAAGCATGTTAGAGCTAAGATGAAGATTTTGTAGATCATGCGACAGGGGACGGCTGGGCGTAGCTTGTTTGATGACTATCATGAACTATTGGCAATACAGTTGGGTCTTGACTTGTTTGTATCAGTGTTTCTAAGATTGAGGTCGTGTTGGAAGTCATTGAGAGTCTTGCTGGTCGTCGCAACATTCCAGACCATGATAAGGAGCATGTGGTCTCACTCACACGCATATCAAGGACTGGACGTGTTAGCGTTGGATGTGTAGGTGAATGCAAAATTTCACCATACATTTGATAATGTTCAATCTTGGTAGATGTTCSATCTATCGCCTCCATATCCGCGAGCAAAGAACAAAGATGATGAGTTCTGCAAACTCTGACCCATACCAATGCCGCTCAGCCACCAAAGCACCAAACCATATACTGCACAATCATACACATCCCCAGCGGGCCCACACATGGCGGTATCAATATCCTCTGCATCACTCTGAAGCAATCATAATATGATTCCAAACGTGAACAGTAGCAAACACACACCGAGTGAAGAGGCTTCTTCTCGTGGACATCATCCTGTCTTTGCGATCTTTGCTTCCAGCATCCAGGCCAAGGTCGCTTTTGGCCTCAGATGTACCAGTCGGAGCAGGTCTGCCTCAGTCAGAGGGATCTCGTGATCCATCAGCGGTGGTTTCGGCCCGCCCATCTGGCATTCTCGGGCAGCCCGAAACAATGGCTGGACTATGGCCGCTGACTTTCGAGCAGCTTTTGCAATGTTGAGCGCCCGGTCGAAGTCCGGAATCGTATCTCTCTCGAGGGGCGACTCTGAGGGCTTTGCCACAACATCATTCAACAGCTTGTGAAGCTGTGCAAAATTCCGAGACACAAAGTCTTGATCCGCGGGTTCGGTCGATCTGGGAAGCTCCCACTCCACTCTCAAGCATTTCAAATTGCGAAGCTTCAACAACTCTTGGACCTAAATTGCGGGAGAACAATCAGCAAAGTTCTGGGGCGATAGCAGTCGAGTCGAGGCGAGGCTCTGTCGATGCAGCACTCATTACCACCCACTACAGGAACGCTTGCGAATTCCGCATCGGTGAGCTCGTCTTCCCAAATGGATCTGTGAAAGCCATCAGAGTCGAGAGGTTCCACCAAGTCACATGTTCTCAAGCAAATGGTGACACACGCAAGTCTCGGTAGGCTTCGCGCGAGTCGTGTCAGTGTGTAGCCGTACCATGAGATGAGCTTGACTTCAGTAATATACTGCAGCACCTGGCGCGCTAGTGAGTCGGGACTACCAAGGCATTCCATGAAAAGACTAAGGTATTCGCATTGGAAGACCTTAGTGGCAGCCCAAATCCTTGCTGCTTCCAGAAAGTACTGTTTGTTAATGCAGCATAGGTGGCTAATGCTACACTCGGGAAACTTGGAGGGCTTCGCCAAGTCAGCTAGTTCTGGGGGAGGCAAAGACGATGGAGCATACCACAAACTTTCTCCCTTCCCTCCCCCTTCTGGCAGACTCCGTGGAGATGAATTGTGAACGTGTCTGGATTTTGATGCTCCTCCGCTCGCCATACAGCAGGGTGTATACCATGTCACGGAGCTCTCGCGGCAGGTCGAAGAAAGGGGAGGCAGTAGTTGGCATGGTCTCATCGAGGTAATTCAGCGTCGGCGTCGACCACGGGCTGAGTGAAAATGAGCTCTGCAAGTTTGGAGTCATCGGCGCGTCCTTCGCTTCGGGTCCGGTCGAGGGCGACATGGTGGAATGGTTGTGCGTGTAGCGGATCGGATCAGATCATTGCCGTGGAATGAGAGAAGAGGGGACTGAGAAAGGTTGAGGTGACATGGGTTGTCAAAGAAGAGAAAGTTGCGGTTCGAGAAGCTTGGTGTAGACTTGTGTCGCTCCTTCTTTCCTACATCGTCATGATTAGGCTGACGCGACTTCATCGCGTGGTCGTGGGAGCGGTGAGAATACAACAATACTGCGGCTTGGTTCTTTCAGGCATTTTCCCGATGGGAGGCTAAAGTCGAAATGCTCAAGCAATTGAAGTCTTACTTACGGTAATATCAAACGCCCTGCGTGAGCAACCTACCTATCGTCACATCCATCTGTAGTGGAGCCTGCCTTTCCATCGCCCTGCAGCCTCATCCACTCACGCAACACAGTACCGTGAGGAGGGACATGTCGAAGGCCGGACTCGGTAGCGACGGGGTATAAATGTCAGCGACACTGTCCTGTCATGAGACGATACCACTCCTCCCCGGAGTGAAGGTGCATGTACCATGCAGGTGTTTTGCCAACTGTACGCCCTATCACAAATGGCGATGCCAATAGTGGTTCCTCCTGCATCTAGCATGATAGATAGCCGATCCAGCCAGGTATCGAGTGCGGTTCGGTTACCGCGAACCGAGGAATGATGTGGAACGGTAAACACGTTCATCGCACCAGCTCGACTATAGATTGGCGTGACGTCGGGAGCCACTCTACTTGAGCACCGCCTTGCGGCACGAGATCTCTCTGCAGTCCCACCTCAACATCGGCGCCCCGACACACGAGCGGTATGACAGCATGACAGCATGACAACAGACCGGGACAATTCGGGCCGCCAAATCAAGCGCGCAACCCAGTGCGGCTCGACGCAGCCAGACGAGAGCCGCTGGAGTATGTGCGATTCCCAGTCCCAAAGACTTTCCCGACCCGCCCGATGGTGTATCCACCGGGTCCACCATCTCAAATGACGCTGTTGGCATCTCGGTAGCATGGGTCGCGTTCACAACCGTGAGGCCGGTGGATACTTGGCCCGAAATGGAGTTGACGGCAGGTGGGTGAGCGATGGCTGAAATCTCACGCGCATGTGTATGACAGATGCAAAAGTGGAGACGGGTCGTGTGCGCAGACGTGTGCTGACATGAGGCCGGTTTTAGATCTTGGTAGCAGTGGCTCGATCGTGTAACCACACGTGCGTTGCCCAGAGATCGTGTGGAGATGCAGCGGTAGATGTACATGCAGCAGTATACATATGCATTATCAGAAACGCCCTTGCAGTCGCATGCATGCATGCATGCGAGCAGCAGGGAGCTCCGCGATGCGATGGATCTCACATCGGGCTCGGCTGAGCAAGGTGGTGGAGAGCATGGTGAAGATCTGAGATACGAGATCTGGCACTGGAGTTTTCTCCGGCTGGTGGCGATGACCCCACGAGTTGGTGACTGGTGTCGAGCGAGGTGTTCGCTCGTGTTTGGCGAGGTGTACGCCGTCGAGTAAGGCAAAAGGGTTCATTGTGAGACTCGATGCTGTAGAAGTCTCAGATACGTCGAGATCTTCGGTGCGCGGCGAATCTAAGATCTAAAGGAACGGCGCCATTCGCTTGCACATTCGATCTGTGTGAGCCGCGGGTGGGTCCGTCAAGCCTCGATCGGACGTATCTGAACCTAAAAGTTTTGAGATCGAGAGAGAGATCTCACATCCCTGCAACGCATTTCTTGTCCACTTTCGAAAGTTCTAATYTCTTCCTCATCACACGAAACTCGCCGACGAGCACTGCAGCAATCAGCCCCACCGCCTGGTCCCATCCTGCAAAGCGACTCCCCGTCGCACCGCTTGTCTATCTCGCTTCTCCAGATCGAGAAGAGATTTTCGCCCTGCAGCAGCCGCTGTCCCAGGAAGYGCCAGCATGCCCAAAGATGTACAAAAGCGAGGGCGTCGCATGAAGCGAAAAGCTGAAGACGTCCCTGAAGACTCTCGCCCAGAAGCCAGCTCCAAGCGACTAAAGGAAGTCGAGAAATCCGCCATGCCTTCCTACCATGCTGACGAGGACATGTCCGGAGCTTACCCTGCAGCCGAAAAGGTCTTCTTTGGCATGCTCGACGATGATGAGCAAGAGTATTTCAAGCGTGCTGATGAAATGCTGGAACTGGACCAATTTGGTGATGGCGAGGAGCGAAAATTGTTCCTCGAAAGTGTCTACCGGGAAGCAGACGGCAAGGAATTGAAAATCGCCCACAGTCAATCTTGCTCACGACTATTGGAACGTCTCATTCGAGTGTCAAATGCTGCCCAGCTCAAGAACCTCTTCCAAAAATTCAGCGGAAAGTGAGTTGAAAATTGACGTGGCGAAAATTCACATCACGTCGTCATGCTGACCATCGCAAAGCTTCATGCACATGCTATCGCATCGATTTGCTTCTCACTGTTGCGAAACCCTATTCACATACGCGGCTCCACTGGTTAGTGAAGAGTTGACCTCTGGAAAGCGCAAAGACAGCACATCCCTTCGGGATGCCAACAATGTCCATGTCACTCTCGAAAACCTCTTCCTGTATACGCTTGCGGAGTTGGAAGGCAACATTGGGTTTCTTCTGACCGATCGCTACGCATCGCATGCACTTCGAGTCCTTCTTCTCGTGTTATCCGGAGAGCCAATCACCACGGAGGCGACCAAGCATCTGCTTCACAGCAAACGCAAAGAAGGCGTTCCGAATGGCGGGCCCGTCAAAGCCAGCGATCAAACCGCGGAAGAGAAGCGTGCCGTGCCAAAGGCATTCTCGTCGGCACTAGAAAAGCTCATCAAAGACAGCGTCGCTGGTCTTGATACTGCTAGCCTCCGTGCACTCGCCACTCATCCTTCTGCAAATCCAACCCTACAACTCCTTCTCACGATTGAACTCACACACTACGGCAAGCAGCGTGCAAAAGAGGACAAGTCTATCATCAAAACATTGCTTCCAGACGATCCGTTCACGGCAGACTGCGAGAGTGCCGGATTCATCAGCGGGTTGGTATACGATTCGATCGGTGCTCACCTTGTGGAGAGGATCATCGAACATGCGCCCGCAAAGTTGTTCAAAAGCCTTTACAATAATTTCTTCAAGGAGCGGCTGGCGTCCCATGCGAAGAACGAGGTTGCCACTTACGTTGTCTGTCGGATTCTCTGCCGTCTGGGACACGATGATCTTGCTGAGGCSCACGAAATCCTCCTTCCGGTCATTCCGGTCCTTCTGGAACGACACTGGACCAGTCTGACACGCGCGCTCATCGAACGCTGCACCGTACGAGACGTCGATACACATGCACTCGCTGACACAATCGGCCAAACCTACCGTGGACCGGATGGCYTCGACGTAAAAAAGCTGCTCCACCTCGACCACAAAGCAGAGGGAAAGGAGGAAGTAGTCACATCAATCTCTGGAGAGGACGCATACCTCTCCCGCCCAGGAGGTCCCTCCAAGGTCCACTTCAACATTCTCGCACAAGCGATGCTCATCATCCCCGGCTCGCTTAGTGAACTGATACTTGACGCGGTCATTGCTTTGGAATCAGATACACTCATCAAGATGGCACAAGATAACGTCGTCAGCCGAACGCTGCAAAAAGCATGCACATCAAAACACGCCTCCATGATACAACGTCGCAAACTTGTGCAGCGCTTCTATGGAAACTTTGGCGATATGTCTATGGACAAATCCGCATCTCGACTTGTGGACTGCATTTGGGAGGGCACACACGGCCTTGCTTTCATCCGCGAACGCATTGCCGAGGAACTGTTTGAGAACGAGGCGGAGCTGCGAAACTCGCCCAGTGGTCGTGCAGTTTGGAAGAATTGGAAGATGGACTTGTATAAACGCCGCAGAGCAGAATGGGTCACTCAGTGCCGAAACATGGCCGGCAACGATGGATTCCAGAGCTTTTCCGAGTTGGATGAAGTTGCCAACAAAGCCGCTTCCGCTGGTGGGAAGAGCGCATTACAACTGGCGCGGGAGCGTCACGTAGCGAACAAGGCGAAGAAGGCCAAAGAGGAGAGTGCCCGAGGTCGGACAATGGCGAGGAACGCGACGAATGCCAACGCAACCGGCTCAAATAGAACGACTGCAGCTACTTGAGTGGGAGTGGGAGTGGATTGGTGCAGGGGTTGACTATAGCAAAATAATGTAGGCATATGACTGACAGGCAGTCGAGAATATGATCTTAATCTGATCCTGCAGCCTTTGCAAAAGGCGTCCTTCATCTTTCAACATGTATTTCCACCGAACGACCGAGATTAAAACTCGACGAGTACGTCATTGCCACACGCTTTTTAGCGTGCGAACCTTTTCTTCCTCTTGCGCAGGAGCGACGCATCGCGGAGTTGCTGGGCTTGTGGTTGGCGTATCGTTTGATGGCAAATCGCCTTTCATCTGACAACATCGCAAGCTGCATACATTGCATGTACAATTTCTTGCATATCMGGTTCCAACCTCGATCCTCCAAACATGACTACGAATGGGACTCTTAACTCTGCCTCCAATGGTGTGAAGCCATTGCGTCGTGCAGAGGAGGCTGAAGATGTAAGAAGTAACGAATAGTGAATGCCAACCTGATACTTACAATACTTGCAGCTTCTGACGGCTGTTCAAAAGTTGATAACAGCCTTCATTCAAGCCGCCGATGAAAATGCAACTACAAAATCTGCCGGAATTGCAAGCAACCAAGATGGCATGAAGCAACGTTCTGTCCTCGTTGACCAAAAGACACCGGCTCAAATAAAGAAACTCCTTCCAACAACTCTGCCAAACGAACCTCAGGGCCGCGAAGCATTCCTTTCCACAATTTCCACCCTCCTCCAGCAAAGCGTCAATACCTGGGACCAAGGCTTCCTAGACAAACTATATTCGTCAACAACTCCAGTCGGTTTAGCATCAGATCTCGTTCTTTCCGCTTTGAATACCAATGCGCATGTTTTCGCTGTGAGTCCTGCTCTCACGATTATTGAGAAGACCACGGCGAGGCAGCTGGCGAATATGTTTGGATTCCAAGGACCTTTCGCTGGAGGTGTGAGTCAGCCGGGAGGAAGTGCTGCGAATGCGATGTCAATGGTTGTTGCGAGAAATTGTTTATTTCCCGAGACGAAAAGGGAGGGTCTGGGAGGGAAGAGATTTGTGATCTTTACGAGTGGGCATGGGCATTACAGTGTTGAAAAGGCTGCACAATCTTTTGGTTTTGGAAGCGATGCGGTTCGTGGTGTGGAAGTTGATGTTGAAGGACGTATGAGAGTCGATGCATTGGAAAGAGGGATTGTAGAGGCGAAAGAGAAAGGAGAAGTGCCCTTCTATGTGAATGCTACTGCTGGGACGACTGTTCTTGGCAGCTTTGATCCACTGTAAGTCGTTGTGTCATGAGACGGGGAGATAGATTCAGCACTGACTGTGACAGGAACGAGATTGCTGCGGTGTGTAAGAAGTACGGCCTGTGGATGCACGTTGATGGCTCCTGGGGTGCTCCCATAATCTTCTCCGACAAGCAAAAACACAAGCTTGCAGGGATTGAGAAAGCGGACTCCATCTCATTATGTCCACACAAGATGCTCAACGTGCCGTTGACTTGCTCTTTCCTGTTGGGGAAAGACCTGCGTGAGTTTCACAAGGGTATGACCTTACCCGCCGGCTATCTCTTCCACTCTTCAGAGGCCACGGAAGATGAAGGAGATCATTACTATGACCTCGCAGATCTCACTCCACAATGTGGCAGGCGTGCAGATTCGTTGAAGATGGCGCTGAGCTGGATCTACCACGGGACAGAAGGGTTCAGGGATTCGGTGGATTCCGCGTTCGAAGCGGCAGCACATCTCGCGGGTTTGGTGGCGAAGAACGAAAACTTCGAGCTGGTGAGCTCAAATCCACCGCCTTGTCTGCAAGTCTGTTTCTATTACAAGAAGAGCGGGGACAGTGACAAGAATAGCGACATCACGAGGAGGATTGTGGAATATCTCGTGCCAAGGGGTTTCATGACAGATTATGCACCTGGATCAGAAGGGAAATTCTTTCGGGTGGTTGTCAATGGTGTGACGAGGAAGGAAACAGTGGAGGGGTTGGTCAAGGGGATCGAGCAGGCCGGGCATGAATTGGGTATTGCTTGAGGGGTTCTTGATAGTGTGGTTGAGTTAGGATCTCATCATAGAAGTTGAATACAGAATCCTGAGAACATATCTGCTGGCTTGTCTGCTCAGAATCGTTCCGTGGTAAAGTGGTGATGCGGGTGGTGATAGTTGAGGAGGAGGAGGAGAACAAGAAGATTGGCAGACAGAGTTGACAGACTGTCGGTGCGGAACCCGCTCCGAWCGGTGGCCTAAATCTCCAAGCGGGGAAGGATCATCAGCCCAGATTTTTGTCGCGTACCACCTGCAAGCAATCCATATCGAGCTGCTATCGCCCTTACACCGCTCCGACACCACAACTACCCCAATAACGCTCATTTGATCCTTTGGAAGATAATTCTCCATCCAACTGAAGCAACTTCACTACCGCCATCATGTCCTTCGGGGGCCAAACCCCGACCATTATCGTCCTAAAAGAGGGTAGGTCCTTCAGAAACACATCATGCTCGTCTAAAGACATGCTCACATTCTGTAGGAACGGACCAGTCACAAGGTCGTGGACAGATCATCTCCAATATCAACGCATGCTTGGCCGTGCAAACAACAATCAAGAGCACACTCGGTCCCTACGGCGGAGACCTCCTCCTGGTCGACGAGAATGGCAAGACCACCATCACCAACGACGGCGCCACCGTGATGAAGCTTTTGGATATTGTGCACCCGGCAGCGCGCATTCTCACAGACATTGCGCGCTCGCAAGACGCAGAAGTGGGAGATGGTACAACGTCTGTGGTGGTGCTGGCGGGCGAGGTGTTGAAGGAGGTCAAGGAGCATGTCGAGCAGGGTGTCAGCAGCCAGACCATCATCAAGGGTCTGCGGAGAGCGGGCATGATGGCCGTAAACAAGATCAAGGAGATTGCGGTCAGCACAAAGGAGGGTAACCAACGGGAAACTCTGATCAAACTGGCGGCGACGGCCATGAGCAGCAAGCTCATTCACCGGAACGCCGACTTCTTCACCAAGAGTATGTTTTGTTGACATCGGACGGTACAACAGAGCTGACATGATTTAGTGGTGGTGGATTCAGTCCTCTCTCTGGACCAAGACGATCTCAACGAGAAACTGATTGGCATCAAGAAGATCACTGGAGGTGCCCTACAAGACTCGCTCTTCGTCAATGGTGTCGCCTTCAAGAAGACCTTCTCGTACGCCGGCTTCGAGCAGCAGCCAAAGTCCTTCTCGAACCCTCAGATTGTGTGCCTTAACGTCGAGCTTGAGCTCAAGAGCGAAAAGGACAACGCCGAGGTCCGCGTGGAGGAGGTTTCTGAATACCAGGCCATTGTTGATGCGGAATGGCGCATCATTTACGACAAGATGGAGGCACTCTACAAGACGGGCGCCAAGGTTGTCCTCTCGAAGCTTCCCATTGGTGATCTCGCTACACAGTACTTCGCAGATCGCGACGTCTTCTGCGCAGGTCGCGTTGCCGCTGATGATCTCGAGCGTGTGTGCCAGGCAACCGGCGCAACCATCCAATCCACCTGTTCCGACATCAACCCCGAGCGCGACTTGGGCTCGTGTGCAAAGTTCGAGGAGCGCCAGATTGGTGGTGAGCGCTTCAACTTCTTCGAGGGTTGCCCTGGCGCAAAGACATGCACACTGGTCCTCCGCGGTGGTGCCGAGCAGTTCATCGCCGAGGTGGAGCGCAGTCTGCACGACGCCATCATGATTGTCAAGCGTGCCATCAAGAACCAGACCATCGTCGCTGGTGGTGGCGCCTGCGAGATGGAGATCTCCGCTTACCTGCATAGTTTCGCTGACAAGAATGTCCCGCACAAACAGCAAGCTATCATCAAGTCCTTCGCCAAAGCTCTGGAGGTCATTCCACGCCAGCTTTGCGACAATGCTGGATTTGATGCGACGGACATTCTGAACCGACTGCGAGTGGAGCACCGCAAGGGAAATGTGTGGGCCGGTGTGGACTTTGAACATGAGGGAATCAGAGACAACTTGGAGGCGTTCGTGTGGGAACCCAGTCTCGTCAAGACCAACGCGATCATGGCGGCCGTTGAGGCGAGTTGCCTTATCTTGAGCGTCGATGAGACCATCAAGAATCAGGAGAGCCAGCAGCCACAGGGTCCGTCACGAGGACTACCACCGGGTGCTGCGCAGAGAGCTATGAGGGGCAGAGGAAGAGGAATGCCGAGGCGGTAAACGAGGACGAGGGATAACGGGCACGAGAAAGACAGATAGGCAAGAGGGTCATWTCGCACCAGAATCGCCCCTATATGCCTGGAGAACAGCAGGAGATTAGCGCATGTCTGATGCTTGACACGAGCCGTGGATATGGAGGAGGAGACGCTTCCCTATCTAACTGCAGCGATGACGGATGATGAAGCAGGAGACCAAAAAAGCGTGCGCATGACGAACAACTGGAGGCGGCACTGTACACCCGCACATGTATAGTATCAAGCTCTMCCTTGCAGTCACGTTCCGCGAAGTTCAGCTCATCCTTTTCTACAGACTCCCGTCAGTGCTATCGTTGCCTCGAGACGCCCCGAACCGTCTGCGCTAGATTTGCGACCAATGAAGGACATATTGCTGTCTGTCTCGGCAATGCAATCAGCGACCGGTTGACGTTCCACATATGTACATGTGCCTTCCTGAGCCCACTTATTGTGATGATCCTTGCTCGGTTTCCTCTTCAACCCTAATATGCTCGCTCGACTTGCACTACTTCTTGACCCCTGTCTATTTGATGCTTGAGCCCTAAAGACATGCGTCAGCACAGGATATGAAAATACACGGCTCTTTCTATCACTGGTCCTTCAATCTATGACCCCTAACACACGTGCTTTGCGGACCACTCTATTGACTACAACGAAATCGTGGATACTGGTTTGACGCATACCCTGGCCAACTTGCTTATCTAGCCCTAATGATATATRGGTCCTGACCATTGAAATGCTTCCTTGACGAGCACAAACGAGTCGACATGGAGTTTCCAATGGCACCACTCGAGCATTATCGTCCGCACTGTAACCGTCTCAACACGCATCAGGAAGTCCGTTGCTTGAGGCGACGGAGCTTGCGCGGAAGAATGAAAGACTTATAAGGCCTCTCCTCTTCCCGACATACTTCTCATTCTCATCTTCATACTCATACAATATCAAACAATATGGTTGCTACAATCCGCAAGTACAAGGCCGCCGCCGTCAATGCCGAGCCAGGCTGGCTCAATCTCGAGCTCTCTACCCAGAAAACGATCCATTGGATCAACGAGGCTGGGAAAGCAGGCTGCAAGCTGATCGCCTTTCCTGAGCTATGGATCCCAGGCTACCCGTATGTCAAGACGTAGTGTGAAGGGTACAGAGCATGTCTCAAAGCCTTCATACACCTCTCCAATGTCGTCAGACTTCCCAAACACATGCTGACATCCCATTCTTTGCTCTAGATACTGGATGTGGAAAGTCACATACCAAGAGTCTCTTCCACTCTTGAAGAAGTACCGCGAGAACAGCCTAAAGTCCGACTCGCCAGAAATGAACCGCATTCGCACCGCCGCCAAAGAGAACTCCATCTTCGTTTCTCTTGGCTACTCCGAGTTGGATCTCAACAGCCTCTACACCACCCAGGTCATGATCGATCCCTCGGGAACCGTCATCAACCACCGCCGCAAGATCCGCGCAACGCACGTCGAACGTCTCGTCTTTGGCGATGGAACGGGAGACACGCYCAAGTCCGTCGTGGACACGGAGATTGGTCGCATCGGTCACCTCAACTGTTGGGAGAACATGAACCCTTTCCTCAAGGCTTACGCTGTCAGTCTCGGCGAGCAAGTCCATGTTGCTGCCTGGCCTCTCTACCCCCACGCTTCGACTTTGAAGTATCCAGACCCATACACCAACATCAGCGACGCCAACTCCGACATTGTCACGCCTGCGTATGCTATTGAGACTGGCAGCTTCACTCTCGCTCCTTTCCAGACCATCTCTGCCGAGGGCGTGGCTTTGCAGACACCTCCTGGCAAGACCCCCGAAGATCCAAACGTTTACAACGGGAACACCAGGATCTTTGGACCGGATGGACAGGCTCTGATCCCCAAGCCTGCCGAGGACTTTGAAGGATTGGTGTTTGTGGATGTCGACCTCGATAAGACGCATCTCTCCAAGGCACTGAACGATTTCGGTGGACATTACATGCGTCCTGACCTCATTAGATTGGTGGTTGATACTGATCGGAAGGACTCTGTTTCTAGGGTCAATGGGAGCGGCAYGCACGAGGTTGTCAGTACGMTTGAGAGGGTGGGATTGAACAAGCCTTTGGTGGCTGAGGATGTTGAGACGGAGTAGAGGCATGCAGGGCATAGAGATGTATGATTTTGTGGTGGCTAGGCTACACTTTGGTCTGAGATGGTTCTCCGCTCGCGTAGATATCTGACAATGATGTTGGTCAAACTTGTTGCCTCGCTCCTGTTTTAGGGTTAGGGTTGGGGTAGTGGTCAAGTCTTGTTTCGTGGCTTCCAACACCGTTTAGTTGCTAGTCCAGTGTGCCGAGTTTGACTGCGGTCCTCTTCGTCAATTGAGGCTTTAGTTTTCGACCCGAAACGTGTATCTCGCGCAATCGATGAATGATGGCCGCGACGCGGGATTTCGCATTTACGGTCTTTTACTCTATTACCTCACGCAGTAGAGACTTCGATGGACAAAACAGACCGAAGATTGAAAGCGCAAGAGATGTGCTGAACTCTTAAATTTGTGATGAATTCTGAAATTCGGCCTGCGGAGTGCACGAAGCAAGGAAGGAACGAAATTCTGCGCACTTCCCAAATAGGCAATTCTCACTCAAGTGAAGCAAACCAAATTAAAATTGCCATTACAAAAGAAATGTAAGGCCGCAGGGTCCCGTAGGATGTATACGGTGATCTTAGTAGCAAGCTCGTGGTCTCAGATGCTTGTGGCAATGCTAAAGGGGTCAAAAATTGCAAAAATCGCAAAAGTCGAGCTTCCAACTTTGGAACGCACTTAACGACATACACCATCTATTGTATGTCCTAATGAACGCCCATAGAGCAAAAGAAACGTCCCTCGACGCGGGATCGAACCGCGGGCCTCAAGATGACAGGGGGCGGGTCCATTACAGTCTTGCGCTCTTCCAGCTGAGCTATCAAGGGTGACAGCGACTTAGTCGCTGGAGGGAGAAATTGGATGGAGGCCAGAAGGGCTTTGCACGTACAAGTACGTAAGACGAAAGACACAGCTCGGCAAAGACGGCATCGAATTTTGCATGGGCCCCCGCTTTGCACAGTCTTGGCAATTTCCATGATCGAATTCACCCCACCCCACCCCTTTCACACCACTGCTTACTTCTAGTCGTTGCGGCAACAACTACAACGTATTCTGCGAACTCCAAGCTTCGATCATCCACCAGCCGTCGTTTCGGCGTCAAAGAAACGTGCAGAAAGCCAACACGTTGGTCTTTAGCTGCATATGCTCTCTCCCGCACTAGCACGGATGTGTTAGAACCAGCTTGATCTCCGCATAGCTATGATGAGCTCTCGACCAAGTTGAAACGATCCATCAGGATTCAGCTCGTTGCTAGTATTTCCTAGCTGCATCTCTCTCCCACGTGTTTGACATTTGTCGTGGGAAATTGGAACGTGGCATCGCTACAGCATTATACCACGCAGGGCTGGCCCTTCAACTTGTCTCGAACGAACACCCCTCTGCTGTATCGATCCCTATTGTGCGAGAGGCGTCCTGCATTCGATTACACGTCGACATCAGGTCGAGGAAGATGTAGAACAGTCGAATGAACGGGCGGCGTTCACAGACGCTCCCATACCGTAGATGGAAGTCTCGGTACCCACAAGCACAGGAACGACACTTCTATCACGATCAAAGACAACAGTACACTTGGCTTAGCGTGGTGTTGGAATTGTTGGAGCCACACTTCACCTTCCTACTGCCGCCTAGAGTGCCGCTACACAAGCTAATGACGGAGAGACTTGGTGAATGCTTTATCGACTCAAAAGACGCCACTGAGATCATGGCTCAAACGCACGAAATAGTGCGCTTTTACATATGTCCATGACGGAGTTGCGCTCCGCGGAGTGGGTATCGGAATCGATGTGATGCGTTCAACAGCTGCAACGATTCCCATCGTGGCTGAAATGTCTCCAGAGTTGTACAAATTGTACACAAGCAACTCTATGTGCTGCTTGCGGCACTGACGAGATTGGCGTGACGTTCCACATTCCAAGACGCACCATAGATACACGCCCGCAGCAATGTATCCATTGAGCAATGGAAAGCTCACTGTATGATCTCTGGGAACAGGAGACACTATTGCTCCAGCTTGCTAGCGATGGCGAAAACCCGAGTCAATGAATTGTACCTCATCATGAGCAGTAATCTGATCCTTGGGACTTTTGTCCTGTTCAGAGTGAGGATTCCTACTCGTTCACGAGCAGCGAAGCTTCGAAGGCACGAACGATCGTGTGCTTTGCATCTACCTCCTTCTCAGAACCTTGGATTGCCACCTACGCTCCTTCTTCCTGTGAAGGTCGGAACGCCTGGCTTGCACAAGAAAGACCTCCGAAAGGCCTCCGAAACAAAGGGTAGGTAGGGTAGTTACGTTACAAGGGCAGGTAGGTAGAAAATGCACGGAAGGAATGAAAACAAGAGCTTCTGAGAAGGAGGCAGCTTTGCGTGCACACTCACTCCCAGACCGATAAACAATTACTCACTTCCCCACCTTTCATCCCATACCAAAGCACCAAACAACACACTATCTTCACCACACAACCCATATATCAACAACGCGATGGCCGATCGTGACAGCTTCGAGGCCAACCCTCCGGCGGAGTTTCTCGCCTTGTCGGTAGTGGACCAGAAGTCGAAGCTCAAACGACGCCGAGAGATTGAGTCGAGATGGAATTGCGACATCCGAGACTGCATGCCTCTGGAGATCCGTCCAAGGGTGGCGGCCATGGGTAGAGGAGCGGCGAAGGCAAAGATTAGAGAGAATGTCCCGGTGAAGCCGTGGTGGCAGTGCAGTGTGCGCTTCTTGACGAAACTCGGGAAAATCGCTGAAATGACGGTGGACGATTTGGACTACGCTCAAGATCTCATGACTCTGGAGGTCGAAGAACGTCAGAGACGTATGGGAGCTTCTTCTTCGGTGGCGGAGATTGTGCTGCAGGACCTTGATTGCATCATAAAGGCATTGCCGAAGACGCACCAAACTGGCAACCAGAAAACTCCCTCAATATACAGTGATGACGACAGTGATCTTCAACAGACAGAGGAAACACAAGAGATCGCACCCCAAGCTCATCAAAGCATTGAAGGAGAAGATGGCGGGGAAGCCAGTCTGGCYGTCGAGACAGAGGTCGGGGAGCAGAACATCGACAAAATCTCTTCAACTCCACACAAGCGCCAAAAGCTGGCTCAGCCTGCCAGTCTACTGTCAAAGATTGCCGCTCTACGGGGCAAGGCGATGCGACGTGAGCACGAGTCTTACAAGCTGCAAGCAGAGGCGGCGATGCTCAACTCAGAGGCAGCAAAGCTTGAGGCAGAAGCATACGAGCACGAATCCAGCTGGATCCTCCAAAAGACTGATTAAACGAACCGGGAGAGATGTGTGTTCTGGAACCCAGCTGGTCCGGCACTCAAATGCCAGGCAAGGAGGAGGCCGGACAGAGTGTTGTAAGGCTGGAACTCCACATGTAAGCACCACAGAAGAGATCAGCCCTCTTTACCCCAGAAGTAGCAAACCGAATGTTGAATTTCATTGATAGAGCAGCGATCAACGTTCGTGGTAATCTCCTCGCCATAAGACGGCTCAAATCAGTTCCGTCTGCCCTATCGGGCCCTGGATCGACAGGTGTGTCGCATGGCAGGTATCCACAGACGGGAGTGAAAGGATCCCAAGCATGCAGCTAGGTCCCCGACGCTTGGGAGCATGTTACGACCACGTGAGAGTGTACCACGAGGAAGCGAGTCAACCGCCCTGCATGACAATCGACTCATTGTGTGGTCACTTGCTCAAGGTCAATGGTGCTGTGATTCTTCGTTGCACCTTTGAGTCAAGGCAGCCACTTGTCCGGTTGTGAGTGATGTCACTTCGAAGTTTCAAGCCACGAGCAGCACAAGAATAGCGGAGGCCATACAGGGAAGGTAGAGGATGCGACGTTGTGCATGCTGATATCGCGGCCGAGGAATGCCGAACGAATGACGACCAAGCAGTCTAGTCTTGAGCTCTGGTTGGACGTATCAGTATCCATTGCATTCCCGAKAGATGAACGTAGCGGCTGGACGGTGTGATGATACTTTCCACTCTGCCAGAAGAAGCATCCCGACTCATCCGCCACGTTCAGCCCACGAGGCTTGAAGGAATCCACACGGAAGCCTCTTACTCCTACCATAGGGCGGGGAGGACGGCCTAACGCTCGAAGGATTCACCGCGTGCCGTAGGGTTGGCTCACCATGCATTGCGACTTGCAGATCAGGGGAGTATCGTGTCAGTATCTCAGGCGCACCGCACGTGGAGTCTCTCACCGATGGTACCAATGTAGGTACGCACTTGGCTGCCGTCTCATACACTTCTAAGAGGCCTTCCCAAGATCCTCGGTAACCTCTAGCCCCTTACACGGCCTGACGCCGCCAACAAATCCGATAGCGAATGTATCCCGGAATACCCAAATGGAAACAGTAATCTGTGCGAGATGTGCTGGTGCATCATCACATAACAGGAAGCAGCATGAAGTTGATCCGGGATCGTYATGCACTAACCTAAGAAGGCAATCCTTGCTGAGTTGGTGATCCGTGCGCGAAGGATTCGTGATCTAGCGGCAGATCTTCTTTCACCACCAACAGCACGCTTGTCCGGCGACTGATCAGCCGTCGACCTCCCAATCGTCCCTCTTGCAGCTCGGCTCTCGACGGTGTCTTCCCGCGTGGCGGACCCAGCGAAGCTTATCCAGGAATAAGAAATCCTGCAAGGCTGAGCCTCGCATGTCAGATTACATAACGCCATCGAGGTGCATACCGTACAGCGCACGGTGTCAATCAATGCTGCCGGGTCTTTGATCGACGGGTGAAGAGGCCTCAAAGCCAGTCTTTTATGACTACTTCTGATGCTCTGATAGGACCGCTGACGTGGCACGTAGCACGCAGCTTTGGATGGGTTACATCTTTATCTCGTCCATTCGCATTAACCGGTGAGGCTTCTCATCAAAGTCACGAATTTTGAGTTCGACTTCCAGATACTAGCGTTCGGGTCGTCGCTCTTGGGCTAAAAAAGTCATCTAACCTAATGGAGTAACACGTTCTAAAGCAATACCATCAACGTTCTTGCGAATCACAATGTGCTCTGCGATGTCATGGCTTTGATCACGGACCCATAGTGAGCTTCATACTAAAGGCAAGCACCCTGCAGTGACAAAGTGCGCTTCTTCCTCTCATCAACACACAAACATATCYAAGCATCAGTCAAGCTGCATTCACCCACACCGACACATCATTATCCTCTTGCACTGGACGACAATACGACTGTCCATCACTGACCCTACGAGCGAACTCGACCGTACATTGTACAATCCGCTTAGTGCCAACAAAAGACAAAGTCCAAGCAACATGAGTGTGTTGGACATGAGCCCAGAGATGTTCGACGGACTGTATGAGGATTCTTTCGCTTTTCTGGTACGTATCTTGCCTATATGTTCTGGATCGTCGCGGATTGTCGTCTTTACACTAGCGTAGCACTCCTTTACATCCTTCACCTTCTTGCTCCCTCCAAAACCTTCTTCCAACAGCACTACACTCTGACAGACACTGACTGATTCATTGCAGCTTGATCCAGCTCTTTGCCCAAGCCCATCGAAAAGACAAAGGACAACCAGCAGCAACTCCTCAAGATCAAGCATGTCGAGCTACTTCTACTCACCGCCGTCCTCTGAATTCAACTTCAGCCCTTCCTTTCCTCCACAGAATTCGTTCTCCGAGGAGGAATACCCATTTTTCGCGCCGACACCGCTGGAGTCATTGCTTCCGGAGCAGACTTTTGGCGACTCGGGCGACTTCTTCTCTCCAGCACCAACTGGACCGTACTATCAGCAAGAGCTCGATTCACAATGGATGCAACCGATGATCTCCACAGAAATGGCGCAATCTTACCCAGCATCGATCAACGACCATTTCATGGATTACCCACCGAGCTACGATGGTCGACTTGATCTGATCACAAGCGCGCCATCATCGATGCCGGCCCGATGTCTTTCGGCCGAGGAGACTCTCACATTGAGGGCCACTCGAGCTCAATCGCTTCTATCCAACGCAAGCTCCGCTCCCAGTCGGGATTATTCGAGAGGTGTCTCCCCAAGTGCCAGCGAAATGTCGAAATGGGGCCACAGGAATAGTGAAGGGACTTGGTCCTGCGCTTACCCCGGTTGCTCCTCTCGATCAACATTCAGCAGAGGCTGCGATCTCCGCAAACACTTCAAGAGACACACAAAGTCGCTATTCTGCCGACATGAGGGATGTCCACAGTCGGTAGACGGCGGTTTCTCTAGCAAGAAGGACCGCTCTCGACATGAAGCGAAACACAATCCTGGAGTTGTGTGCGAGTGGGACGGATGTGAGAGGCTTTTCAGTCGACAAGATAATATGGTAAGTTCATGCCTTGCAGTCACAACGATCTTGGTGTAAGACGCTGACCAGGCTTTGCAGAAGGATCATGTTAGACGTGTTCACAAGCGACGAGCTTCATAGTGCTGTGAAGAGCGCCATGCGATAACGCATGATACCAAATTTACGACAAGCCAACTTCTGGCATCAGCAGAGCCACACCTCACACCGGCGACTGATGCGAGGAGCAAGGCGTCTCCCGCGCAAGAGTCAAGCGCCTGCCAGCCAACGCCGTCAGGGGCGCGGATGCGCTCTGAGATGAATGGGAAATCATACCCACCCCGCTATTATCGAAGACCTTCAAGCCGAGGGAGCCAAGAAGGGTGATCAATGTCTCATCAAGCTTCGCATGCCGACCAGAGAAATTGGACGATTGGCGGTCTCTTCTCGTACGAGACTAATCAGCTGCTTGCACACTGCGGTCGATCGACATCTACGCAGGAGATCGACAAACTGTGCTCCTTATTGGGATTTCCGCATCCTTCAATAACGTGATCGCGGCAATCCGGAATACCCTTTTGGGTAAACGTCCCTCGTTCAATGCGAAGGCCTGGCGGGGTGGTCATTATTGGAGGCCGGCTGCACCCATCGAGGTAGCGGTGACAAGCTGGATGCGAGCAAAACTTCGCAGGAGTGTTGGCACTGGACTGTTTGTCTTGGACGTATCTCGAGTCTATCACATCCTCGGACGGCAGCAAGGTCTTTTGATCATCCTGCACAGTCTTGAATAGCCTCGGATATTTGCGATTGCCATGGCTCGCGGCGGAGACTTCTGCAGTGGGTTGAGCAGCCTCCAGTGGGATGAAAGGCTTTCATATCGCCGCGTGTTTGGCAGCATGAATCCAAAGGGTACTAGTCGCCACATCACGGCCGCGTGAGCGATGTTGTTAATAGAATAAATCATCAGGTATAGATCCAATTGGGACTGCGATGCTTGTCTCTCGAGATATGTCTTCACTCATCTTCGCGTCCATGATCGTATTTCTGCTTCAGTCCGGTTTTCTTCCCGGACGCGTTTTCAATCATTYTTCGGAGGGAAGGTCAGAACATGAGCTCTTGTGAAACGCGTGAAAGATGGCATCCGCGACCGAAGCTGGCTTTGTGGTATTCTTGGCAAACCGTAAACGCGCTAGTGAGAACATCCGGTCGCACTTGACAACCAAGACGTCATCGTCAACAGATGCGAAAATGTTCCGACAAGGACAGATCCTTCGCGCGGCACAGATATCTTCAGTAACGAGTATCCATCATGGCAAGACTGCGAAGAGAACCTGGAGGTGATGCCATCCCGAGTGCGCTTTCGACAAAGGCACGGAAAGTGCAAAACGAGGCGGATACGAGCTCACCACCGCCTACGACACGGCGAAGACGGGCTAGACATATCATTACCGACGACTCGGATGAGGATGAACCAGAGACACATGCTAGACTCATGCCAAAAGCCGCGACCATCACACAAAAGAAGAGAACTCAGGTCCGACTGGCGCCTTTGGGCGCTATACAGACATTGAGCAGCATCTCGAGCTTGGACATAGCTGCAAAGGAGGAGAGTCTCGAGAAGAAGARACCTGTCAGGCGAGCGATATTGAAGCGAGAGACGCCGTTGGTACAAGAAAGTAGGAGTGGGAGCCATGCGCCGGCAAGGCTAAGGAATAATGTCTCCGAGTCGCGTAAGGATTCGGAAGATGAGGATGCGGAAGAGGATGACGCAGATGGTGAAGTTGCAGAAGAGGAGGATGCGGAAGAGGAAGATGTAGAGGAAAGCATATGGTGCGGTTCGGCCAGCGACCTTGATGAGGAATCCAACGAGGAGCTGCCTAGTATGAAGAAGTTCTTCAATCTGCCGCGGAGACACCAAGAACCTGCCCAGAGATTCCCTTCACTGGACATGGCAAAACAGATGAAAGCTCTTACGGTCTTTGATGATTCGAGCGAAGCAAGGCCGACAAGAATCTCTCCTACAAAGAAGAAAGGAAACTGTGATATCGCCAGCATCTTTCAGGATGAAGATGAGGAGATATTCACCACCAAGAGCTTCCGTCCTACACATCGGCCACAAGTCGGAGAGATCTCGCGGCCAGGCAGCTCTTCAGACAAAGAGAATGCCGCAGCCATCATTCGCTTCTCTCCTCCGCGGAATTCAAATCCAATCAGAAGCCCGAGACCATTGGACCGGCCATTGACACCACCGCTGCAATCGCCATCGAAGTCTCGACTGAAGTCTCCATCCAAACCAAGAACTCGCATTCCCACTCCACCTCATCGACCTAGTCTAGACGCGTTCTGGACAGCAGGCGCAGTCAATGAGTGGAACGATCAATACTCTCCAAAGAAGATACTCAAATCTCCCCAGAAGCCTTTGTTCCAACCCACATCATCTTCGAGAGATTCTGCATCACCGCCACCATCACCCTCGAAGCTACGAAGTCCCAGCAAAGCCGAGACTGCCTTGAGGAAGGAGTTCGTAGCACGGCGAGAAGAGTTGGCGAGGTCATTTCTAGCTGAGTTGGACGAGACCATCACACAAGGGCGTGTCGGAACGCTAGCAGCTAGCACAGGCGGCGTAAAACTGGTTTGGAGTAAGACTCTAACCTCTACAGCCGGACGAGCGAACTGGAGGAGAGAGACGACTAAGACTCGTGATTCCAAGTCTTCACAGCCAACGCAAGTTCTGGCAACAATGGAGAAACACTACGCTACCATTGAGCTGGCCACGAAAGTCATTGATGATGAGGATCGCCTGTTGAACGTCCTTGCTCATGAGTTTTGTCATCTCGCAAACTTCATGGTCAGTGGAATCAAGGACCAGCCGCATGGGAAGTCTTTCAAAGAATGGGGAGCAAAAGCTACCAAAGCATTCAAAGGCAGAGGTGTCGAGGTCACGACCAAGCATAGTTATACTATTGAGTACAAGTATATCTGGGCGTGTGGTGGATGGGATGGCTGTGGTACGGAGTTCAAGCGGCACTCAAAGAGCATTGATCCATCAAAGCATCGATGTGGTGTCTGCAAAGGTGATCTCATCCAAGTCAAGCCGATCCCGAGAGGTGCCGGGAAGGGAAGTACTACGTCTCTGGAACCTGGGAAGAAGGGCGAAAAGCCAGCCGTCACGGGGTATGCTGCTTATGTGAAGCTGCACTTTGCAAGCGTCAAGAAGGCGTTGCCGGCTGGCAGTACCCATAAAGATGTGATGCAGGCTTTGAGTAAGAAGTATCAGGCCGAGAAAGTGGCGGGTGGGTCATCATCGCCTGCTGTGGATGAAGATCTTGCAGGTGTGGTGAAGGATCTTGAGGCTGTCAAGCTGGGAGATAGCCGGTCGCCGATAGAATTGGATTGAGAGTTCAAGTCACAATTACCTTTGGTAGGAGACGACTAGGCGGTGTCTTGCATCCAACATTACTCAGAACCCCTTCCATTCGAAGCTGTCGCGCAGGCGCTCCGCAGAGAGACGCAAAGTTCGTTACTCATAAGCGACGGGCGGAAGATCAGCGGTGTCTCTGACAATGCAGATGGACATACGAAGAGTTCGATGCTCTCTCCACACCTCAGAGTGCAAAGATGGCTCGACGGCTCTGCCCTCCACTGTACTTGCTTAGTACCCGTCCAATCCAGAAGTTGTTCTTGCCAGTTATGATCCACATGAGATCTTCAGAGAAGGAGGCAGCAGCTTGCTGGGAAACTGCAGTAGAGACGCGAGTGTCATTCATCTTCTGTCCTTGAGGCGTCCATTGACCTTCTACTGCACCACAGACATCCCGCGTTTCTTCCAATTGTTATCCATCAGTCTCTGATCATCTTTGTCATTACCACTACGCGCAGCGCTACACCCGGCTTGTCTTCTACGAGAGGCCTCCGCCATGGAACATACTCAGAACACRCAGAGCACGGCTACACCCCGCAGTTGCCGCAATGGCAAAGGCTATTGTGAACATTGCGACGTGGAATACGTCAAGGATAACTATAGCTGCTCGAGACATGAGCAATCAGACAGGCATCGCGAAAAAGTAGGCCTGCCCAAATTAAAAAGACGTTTCGGCTGCAAGCACCCGGGCTGTGACAAGCAATTCAGTCGACGAGAGAACTGTACAATACACGAGAAAAGATGTCGTAAGGGCCCGGGGTMACCGAAGGATAAACGCTTGATGCCTGAGCAATCAGACAAGCATCGCGAAAAAGTAGGCCTGCCCAAATCAGACAGAAGTTTCGGCTGCAAGTACCCGGGCTGTGATAAGCAATTCAGTCTACGAAAGCTCTGTACAAGACACGAGAAAGACTGTGGCGAGCGATTCGACTGGAGAGAACGGGACACCCCTTTACCATCATCTATCCCTTCCGATCAAGTGTCGCCTCACCCAGGCCATGCAACCTCAGCATTACTACCGTCCCTTCCGATGGCCGAAAGCAACGACTGGAGAGAATGGGACACTCCTTTACCATTCTCTATCCCTCCCAATCAAATGCCGCCTCACCCAGGCCATGCAACCTCAGCATTACCACCGTCCCTTCCGATGGCTGAAAGATACAACGACTCGGGAGATTGGGACCTATATGGAACATCCTCTATCCCTCCCAATCAAGTGCCGTCTGATCCAGGCCATGCTACCCCAACATCACCAGCGAACTTTCCGATGTTCGATAGATACGACGACTGGGGAAATTGGGACCCATATGGAACATCCTCTATCCTTTCTAATCAAGTGCCGTCTGACCTAGGCCATGCCACCTCAACATCATTAGCGGACTTTCTGATGCGGATGTCCGAAATCATCGACTGGGGAGAGCTGGA